ACTTGGCAGCCATTGCCATGATACATTTATTGAGTAGAGACTTTGCTCTGTCTTTTTTTTTTAACACATTAATAAACAGAAGGTTCCAGCTTCTTGTGGTTGTGGTAACATTTGTGATACAATGACATTCACACAAATATTTGAAGTATTCTGAACGCATAAGCCTTCCTGAGTACAAATACTCCAGGCCTCATGGGATGGCACAAAATATGACTTTTTAGAGAAGACTGAGTCCTGAGTCCTTCTCACCCACCTTGGAAAGGAGAACCCTGCACCAGCTCCCCAGAGGGATTGGTATTGCCCCTGTATGTGGAGCTCTAGCCATGAGACAGAGACACACTCAAATAGCACAGTTTTTAAGAGTCAAATAAACAAATACACTTGAAAAAAATGGTATATATTTGTAAAACTGGCCTATGACAGTGGAATACAGGATAATAATTGGAATACAGTATAATTATACAGGACGTAGTTCTATCTCTACATTTTGAGTGACTAGCACATACATGGCGTAGTCTAGATAATGAACTTGGTAAAAGACACAGGATATAATCAGCTCTCTCTTATTGGTGTTGAAGTTGATCGTCTAATTTGGCTATTTGTTGTGGGCTCAAGTTAATGGAATCTCTGGGGAGTGGGGGGACACTTTTCTTTTAGATCTTCTTACGTCAATATTGTCGATGCATCAATCATCTAAATTAACAGTCATCCATTGGTCTTAGACCTCATCCTCGGGGAGGCTCAGGGACATGTCCCTCAGACGTGGCTTTTCAGTTAGCAGATGGTAAGAGGGTCTGTGTTTGTCCCTTCATTTGGGAGGCAAGGGGAGAAGATAGGCCTGAGAGGCTCTTGGAAGGAGGCTGGAGGGAAACTGTAGATGAGGGACTCATCTGTCACATTGTAGAATGCTATATGTCCAGATTCATAGTCTAAGAAAACACCAACCTTATGCACAGGCTCTCTGACATGTTGACCTTTTAAAGGTGATGAGACCCAAAGACTATAATCATCCCCAATTTTTAAACCTATAAGTGAGAAGAGGTCCCCAGGGGATTTGGGGAGATTCCCCTTTCTGCTCACTGAGTCTTTGCAGATGCCCACTTCCCACTCGGTCTTGCTTCCCACTTCCACCTCCCAGTAGTGTCTCCCACAGATGAAGATCTGAGCACCCAACACAGTTGCAGACTGATCAAATCTCTCTGGGTTGTCAGGTAACTGCTGCCTGACTCCTCCATGTCTCACACTTTTCAGATCCTCAGACAGGACTAGGTAGGCGTTGGCTGTGGCTGGGTCCAGAGTTATCTCTGCTGCAAGAAGAGAGAAGAATGAATCCTCCTTTGGAATTCTTGAAAAACCTCTTGCATATGTGGAACTTAAATTCTTAGTATTTTGTCCTATTTTTTAAAATTTAATTTATGTGGGTATGAGGGAGGGGTGGTGGTTTTGTTGAGAACAGAATCTCTGAGCTCTCCTTTCACTGTTTCACAAAACATAAAGAGTGAACTTGAGTAAAAAAATAAAAAAGTCACGTGGAGAACAGTATTTAGCTTGCCTGACAGGGAAAGAAGAATCTCTGATCATGGAATGGAAGCTGTTGAGTTCATGAGACAGTTTCAGAACTCAGAGCTATTTATCCTACAGGGATACCCTTGCTGTCTGGATTCATTTAACCATGGTTGTTCCTGGTTCTTCCATTTGGTTGGGAGAAAAATATAGGAAATTATCATTTGCTGAACTCCTCCATATGTGCCAAGCATTTTCTATGCATTACCTCATTTAATTATTCCAAGTGTCATTAATTTTTTCCCATTTTTATAAAAAAAAGAAAAGAAAAAAAAACCCAAAAACCCTGAGGTTCATAAAGGTTAGGAAACTTCACCAAGATTACAAAGTTACTGAGTGTTTGAATAGCAATTCCTAATCGGCATTTTTCATCATGTCATGCTTAAGTGTGGCCTTATGAGAGTGGGTACAACACCCCGGGACCAT